CTCCCGGTTCCCAGGGCCCGAGGAGCACCGAGCAGGGCGGCTCGGGGCAGCTCCACCTCAGAGCCTCTTCCTCTTGTGCCCTGCGGCTTCTCCAAGTTTTCATCTACCTGTGTGCCTCTCTCCCCCCAAGGAGTCCCAGCTCGGCTGGAGGCAGCCCGCAGGTCTGGGGCTCTTCTGAGCCTCCCGGTGTCAGGCAAAGGCTTATTTCTGTCTTCTCCATCCTCTGTTTTCTCCCCTGAATGACCTGACTCCTCACAGGGCCATCACAACCGGCTGTATGAAGCCTCATCTTCCCTTTTTCCTTCCCTTAAAGACCGTAATTGTGTGTGTTCCTTTTTGGTAGGGCTGTGTATCATCTCTGGAAAAAAGGGTAATTGGAGAGAAAAAGTTTGGCTGGTGGTGGAAGGGAGTAGGAGAGTTTTCCTTTGAAGTCAGAGCCGAAATAGAGTAGATTATGACTGGACTTTGCATTTGTGGGCTTGCATGGCTGTGTGTTGGTGTGTGTCTTGGCTAAATCTGGTCCAGTTGGTGTATGGAGTCACAACTCTGAAGAGAAGTCTGCAAGTGTAGAACACCTAAAAAGCATCTCTAGAGAAATTGGAAGGTTATTGCATATTTATGTAGTGTGTGACATCACAGCTTTTAATTTAAAAAAAAAAATGTTTTGGGGAAAGATGAGCTTTCCTTTACCATTTCTTGTAGCTTAGCAGTTAGTGCTCAAGTACTCTCAGACTGGGCACCTTAAAAATTCTAATGCTTTTCCTTGAATTATTTTAATGCTGATCACAGATTTGGAGTTCGGAATTGTAGTGGCTTACTTTCCTTTTTCTGTTGAACTAGAGGAGCTTTAGTGTTGGTGGCGCCCAGGACCAGCAATGTGTGTACCCTGTCTCCTTAAGATAGCTAATGAAGGCACCGGTTATAGCGATGGTTCTTCTCATACGAATACTGTTTAACCAAAGTTGGACTGATACTTTCTCATATAGGGTTCTCAACAAAGTAATAATTTTCTTACAGAAGCAATCTTAGTATGGCTTCAACTGGGGATAATGCAAGACTAGAGAAGGCATGCAGGATACTACTCCTGAGTTGTGATTAGTAGTGTTTATGAGACTCTAATGCTGTAGTCTTTCAGAAGGCCATAGGTCACTGGTAAGAGCTGTTTATCTGCAAATGAAGGGAAATACTGAAACTGATAAAGTAGTTTGATTTACATGTATGGTGCAGTTGTCAGTCTTCAGCTGGGTAAGGAGTTTTATTTGCAATGACTACCATATAATCAGATAGGATTCTTGTTCATAACTCAGTACCTTCACTTCCAGTATCTGTTACGATTAGAAATCTCTCCTTAACGAAAAGAATGAACTAAAATAGAAAATGTTGTTGGTGTAAAGCAGTTATGACTCCTTGCCTTCTGTTAATGGAAATTAATTTATACATGAGTCTGTAGCAAACTGGTACCTTTAAATTAATAAATAGTCTGGGTTTATTATATTCTCCTGGCTTGTGAGACAGTTGAATAGATGTAGCATTGTTATTGTTCTCTAAATCTAGACAATGTAATAATGACTAGAATTTTGGCTATACATGAAAAACAAGCTAAATAAGGTCTGGTTTCAGATGTGAGTTAACTTTTAATTTGTCTTCATGCTTTTATTTTCTAGGTTTTAAATTGTCAGTTAAAGCATGACATTTAGTTCTTTCTGGTTTTATTTTTAGTAAAGAGCTGAAAATCTGCTGTCACATCTAGCTCTATAAATTTTCTTGCTGTAAGCTTCAGATTTCTCATATATTAGTTTATTGTTTTAAAAAGGCCTTACTGGCTGTCCATTCTCAGTATCTCTTCCAACTGATAAATTCTTCTGGTCGTTTTATATGGGAAAGCTTAAGAAACATTCATTGCCTTTTGTCATTCTGGCTTAAAAGCTACATGAAGGCATTTTAGTCATGTGACGATAACAAGACCTCTAATAAATTGTGTTTTTTTCTCATCTGTGGATTCTTCTTTTAGCACGCTTCACAGGATGGATGTAGGATATCAATAATGGCTAGTAGAGAGAGGTTTCATTTTTTTTTTCTTATGGTGGCAGCTTTGACAAAATTATCTGAAAAGTCCAGGAAAATGGTTTGAAAAAAAAAGCATTATGTATACCTTAATATCTTGTTATTGCTGGTCTGAAATCATGCTAAGAGTTCATTCAGAAAACAGTCAGACTTGCTTCTAACATGTCTTATGGTGTAGTTGTTCTGGTACTTTATTTATGTATTAACTGGAACAAATGTGTTTAGATGAATTATCAGAGAATATGTAATAACTAACTCTTTCTGCAGGAGAATGCATAGCATATACCTTGATAATGATGGGTTTTTATTTTCTCTTTTTCTCTCCTAGAAATGGGTCTGCTTTCAGAAGATGCAATACACTAGATGTGGTGCTTGGAACAGGATTAGTCATGGCATCAGAACTATGCAAAACAATCTCTGAGGCAAAGCTGGAAAGGCACAAGAACTTGTTCTTAAATTACCGAAATCTCCATCACTTTCCTTTGGAGTTACTGAAAGATGAGGGGCTGCAGTACTTGGAGAGACTTTATATGAAAAAAAATTCCCTGACCACATTGGTACGATAACCTCTTTATTGTAATGTTTACTGTCTGTATGTTTAGGAACAGAAAAAGAAAGATAATTTAAAAAATAATAATCTTATAGTAAATCTGATCCTGAGTGATTTCATACATTGTGGAATATGAGTATTTGGTTGTATTATGTTTGAACTTGTGTAGGTAGTGTGGAGTATAATAAATGAAAGTTTATGACATTTTATGGTTACCCTTTCAAAGTTCTCTGAAGATCTCTTGGGGGTTTTCTTGTGAGGTTTGTTGTTTGCGGTTTTTTTTTTTTAACTGCTATAAATTTTGCTCACATCAGTGGTTGGGCCTTTCTCCTGGCAGGTGATACTATGCAAGTCTAGTCTACATTCCTTCATTAGGCTAAACAACTTTTACCTTGGCATGTGCCTTATTTTAAAGGCATCATCGATCCCAGGGACTAATTAAAAGGTTGCTGTTAAGGTGCCTGTGAAAACTGGTGTCTGTGGGCTACTGTTGATAAGGGAGCAAACAGTTAATTTCAGGATTGTGGGATTTTCTGTTGTGTTTGCTTGCTTTGTTGTTTTTCCCTGAACTGAACCCTGGGGTAGTTAAATAACTGTGTGAGACATTCTGAGCTGGTAAGACTCTGTAGAGTCAAAACTTACTGCTGCTCCAAGTAATTAAGGGTGGGTGGTTTTTTTTGTTGTTGTTTTTTTTTCCTCAGACTCTTCCATTATATGATGGGTAAAAAAAATAGCCAGGGCAGAGGAGCTGGAGGGCCTGACTACTTAGAAGTCACCAAAATTATGTTTTTCAGTGCTTCCTAGAAAAAGTCCAGTACTGCAGTTTGAGTAGTGTTTAAAGCCTTGACAATGATGCATTAGAATTCCTTAGTAAAGGTTTCACTTCGTGGGCCTAAAGCTGAAAGCATTCTGAAGATTTTATGCCTTTTCTTCATGTTGGATGAGTCACTTAAGTTTACATGTACTGTAAAGAATTATTTTGGCGCTTTTTGTTTTTGGGCAAGTGTTTTGCTTAATTTAATGGGAGAATAGGATTCATGGTTACAAATTAAAGCTGCTTTAAAAATTATCTGAAGTCTGTAAACAGTTATACTTTGACACTTTGTGAAATTCAGTGATTGTTTAGTGGTGTAAGGCTCATGAAGTTTGCGCTGCTCGAAACATAAAACAGTAGTAAGTTTTCTGCATGTATGTGTTGGAGCCTGGTTTTGTTTTTCTCAAAGCAATTATAAAATAGAAACCAAAACAAAGTCCCACAAGTAAGAGATTAGTTCCATTTTCCTCTCAATATCTGTTAATACTACCAGCTGATGTGTGAGATTGCATAAGAGCAATTACCTGTGGTTACTGTCAACAGGTGTGTCAAATGAGGGAGGCAGCTCTCTCCCAATACTCTTTAATATTGTAATTGAGGCCTGAGATAATAGAACTGAAACACTACTTGGTGTAGATCACACCTAGGCAAAATGACTTGCAAACAGTGTGAAGTAGAGCATTAGGATTCAAAACAATCAGGATAAGGTGCTCATGCTATGACTTGGTAGAATCTCATCCAAGTGCATAGCGCTATACTGGGAACTAAGCAAATAAAATTGGGTCTAATTCACTGAGCATCTGTTCAGCAGAATAGATGTTGGAAGTTGTAGTGGACCAAAATAGATCAAGTTAGCAATGTGTTACAAAAAAGGCAGGTGTCTTTTTGGAACATAGAAAGTTTCACAATCTCCGTTAAAAGCAGAAGGGAAGAATTATTGGATACTGTTAAAGCATAAGCTGGAGCAAAGATTGAGTCTGGGGTTTCACGCTTATGGACAACCTGGGTAAACTGTAAAGAACCTAGAAAGTAGCAACAGGGCATTTTTAGAGAACATGCCCTGTAAGAGAAGGTTGAGAGATTTAGGTTAAGTCCTCTTGCAAAAAGAGAAGACAGAGGAAAAAAAAAATAGAGGAGGAATGGGGAAGAGCAGAAGTCACTGGTATTTTTACAAAGCAGTATTTTAATCTTTTTTTTTTTTTTTTTTTTTTTGGTGATAGGACAAGCAATACTCTCAATTTCAGTAAAGAATTAGTAACTTACATTGGGGGGCGTGGGCGGAGGAAATCTCGTCTGAGGATAGTTGAAAATAGGTTATTGAAGGAAGCTGTATTCCTTTCACTGAGACTTTTTGAAAGAGAAAATACACCAATTTCTTTTGAGGGGTGATCCTATCTGAGAAGAGTGGTTTTAATGTCTCTTTAGCCTTCTGCTACTTTGATTCTATGCCAGATGCTGAGCATTAGCTCATCAATAAATGCTTTAAATTGCCTATGGATTATTAGCAATAATCAAAACTACATCTGCACTGTATTTCTTTTAAAGTAAAGTGGTACTTTCGTCCCACTGATTCGTTCTTTCAGAGTTGTGAAAGAAGTTGACTAAATCAGCCTTTGTTCTTCTTTGCTTTTCTAAAATGACTGTAGTCCTTGACAGATGGCTGCTATGAAGATGTCTGGAATAGTTACACTAACAGAATTTACATATACTTTTCCTAAGAATAATTTTATTTTTGTCTTCATTGTCAAGATGGAAATGGAGGACTATGACATAATGAATGGATCGAGAAGCTGCGTAGCACATCTGTATGCCAGCAGCCAAATTCTCCTCATTTAATGTGTGACTGATCATGTTAGCCCTCCAGTAACCCAATTTTCCCATCTATTAAAAGGAAATACGAGTTTGTCTTGATGGCACTGTCAGAAGCATGATCTAGCCATATCAAAGAACAACTGTTGTTAGTTCACTAACTCAGAATATGGAACGCTGTCCTGTTTGGATAGATCAGCAGGTTCACTTTTTGAAAAATATCTAGTAGGTGTGAGGGTGAGGCAGGCTTCCCTAAACTGGTGGCAGAATTGATGGTTCACTTATCATCGTTTGTTGTCATGTCACCAGCAGAGACTGGAGTTTATATGTCAGCTGAGTTTTGTCTCTCAATTCATGGATCATGAATAGTTTTTTTTAATCTTCATTTCGTTGTCAGATGTTGTATTGAGTGACTTTGTCTCAGACCCATTGTTTTTGTGGTACTCAGTAGCAATTCTGCTTATCTTCTTATAGACTTTCTAAACTGTAAAATTGTGTCTGGCCTGGGTTTAGGTCTTGTGTGGTATGAAGCAGTTACAGCAAGAATAAGAGTCTAACCTTCATGTATAATGTGAAAATACTTTGTGATGCAGGTTAGGCTCCGTATTCTAACAAAGGCTGTAGGACGTTAGTGACTGGGGTTTTTTTCCCCATTCCCACTTCATTTTTAAAATTAAAACTTCTTTTTTATTTTGTGCTTGAGCAGGTTGCAGCATTTGCATGTTTTTCCAGCTTAAGCTTTTGTCTTTGACCAAATAAAATCCTGCGTCGAGAAGGTGGATGTGCTGTAGCAAACCTTCCAGTAGGTGGCAACAATGGATTAGTTATAGACTGTTCCTTGGGTCTTGACGTCAACGGATTCATTTATTGAGCCATCATTTGTTGCTCCATACTTAAAAACTGGTTTTTGTACTCCGATCTAGAATGTGGCGTGTTTGCTACAGAAGAATATTATGACATTACTTTTTTAGGTTAGGGTATTCCTTCATAATACATTTATAACCATAAAGTATTTTAGATAATATTATACCTTAAACTTACATAACAGTTAAATTTGCTAGGGTTTTTTTAACAGGAAATTGACTGTATGACCAAGCTGCTTTTAAAATTAATTTGTTTCTGCATATATGTGTATTGTAAAAACTTTTTTCAATAAAACATGTGTGTGTTAAAAGTAGATTTCTTAAGCAGTAAGACCGTCTTAACTTTGAATAACTTTGAGTATGATTACCGTCGTGACATCTGAAACTTGTGAAGCTGATTTTGTGATGTATGTTCATGGTTATAAATGCCATCAAGAAACAGAATTGCAGCTAGGGATCACTTAGCAGTTAGAAAATGATATGTATGTTAATATGTAAACATGGAAATCTAGTTTGATGGATTCAGCACTTCTGTCTTGGTGGTAATTGATTAAGCTAGACAAAGTTTGTAGGTCATGTCCCAATTCAGCAGCATTACAAAACAAAATACATTATGGTTAGACCTCTTTTATAGTTCTTGTTCTGCTTTAAGACTGTAAAGGCTGCAGCTTCTTAGCAGTCTCTTGGCTTCAACTAACTCAACTATTTTAATATATTTTCAAAAGTAAGGATTTGGTAATCCATCTTTGCAGCCTCAGAAGTCTGACTACCATTTGGTTGAGGACACATTAATGTCACTTCCAGGCTGTAGTTCTTTTTCAGTAATGAATTGCTCACCCTTGATATATCCCAGATTGCACTGATGGAGAACGTGCAGGGATGTGGAAATAGGGTATTGTATACAGCTCCTTGATTTTTCTGTGACTAGCTGCTGACATGTTTTAGGATGGTTATTAAAATGAGTTGGGTACACAATATGTGTGTCTGTTTTTTGCTTTGAAACCTAAAAAATCTCTAACTCTTTTTCAGCCAGAAAACCTTGCACAGAAGCTTCCAAACCTCGTGGAATTGTGAGTTTGTGTAGGAGTTCTAATATATTTTTATTATGCTGATCCATCTTATCTGTAAATTATTCTAGAATGTATTGCTTGCACATAGCCTACCTGTTAAGTGTGAAGGGTTTTCTTGGAGGGCAAGAAATGGTCATTTTCTGTTGGGGTTTTGCCTTCTTTATTTTTCCTAAATGAAGAAATGTATATCCAAATTATTCAGTCCCATGTTAGTATTTTTTAAAAATAATTTCTTGTTTAATGGTATAACAAGAACTGTTGTAATAATGTCTACACTGCTAAGGGAAAAAATACTTACCCCCACGTCTTGTGTAGACTGTTGTCACCCTGAGAAAGCACTGGAACTTCCAAATGCAATGGTCAGATGGTTGTGATAAGAGCCAGAGTAACAGGTTACTGCCTCCACCCATCCCTGGTTGCTCGTTTCCACCCCAGCTACCAGGGGTATTATGGTCTCAGCCTTGCTGATTGTAGTTATAAGTTTTTTTGGAACCAAGTCAGAGATAGTCAAATAGGAGCAGGAAAAAGTAACTACTTAATGATGATAGCTGTAGGCAGAGTAGTTTATCCAATCTTGTCCAAAGAATGGATGTCACATGAAGTGTATTATTTTGGCAATTAATTTTAAGCTGTAAGCCTCTGAGTCAATGTTTTCTTCCCTCCCCTTTTCTTCTTGTAAGGTTATGATTTCCTTGTATGGTAGGATAGGTGGTGGGGGACTTAGAAGGGACAGGCTCTTTTCCCCTTATTACTCATTTAGCTCACTTGCAGTTGAGTAACTGACCATTGATAGTGTTTATTTAATGGAAAGCTCTAAACAGGAGGTGTGTATCTGAATAATCTAATGCATTCAGCTGTCTGATCTTGTCATCTTAATTTGGCCCTTGAAACCACACCCTTCTGGTACATGTGTCCACAGTATAATTGAAGTTTTGTTGGGCACTGCAGTCTCCAACTTGCTTAAGATACAGTCTTGTCTCATCATGCCTGGGTCTTGAGAGTGTGTTTGTGTTCTGGAGCAGTAAAGTAAATATTTTTGTATTTGGTATACTTAGTATTTAATGATTTGCCATGGGGCATCAGTAATCTCCGTGTTATCTGATGGTGTCTTTAGGAAAGCCTGTATAAATTATGGCTTAAAATAATCTCTTACAAACACTGAATTGTACTAGTCAAACCTAATTATTTGGGGTTCAGCAAGCTTAGTTGTACCACCATTATCCCACACATTCTGGTGGTCTAGAGAGAACTGGAGTGGGCCTGTGGTTTGGTAGCTCTAATAGTACAAGTCAATTTTTGATCAGACAGTAAGATGTTTTGTTGATAAGAGAAGAGACCACAAAATAAAGACTTACTAAAGAATAATTTGTTACAGTAGCTTTAAATATTGAAAGACAGACTTAACTGATTTTAGTTTTCCTGAAAGTTACATCCTTAGCAATTTAATGGTATATTTTTAAAAATGTCACTATTGTCTGTGTTTCTTTGTATATTGTGTCCCTCATGCTGGGATACTAGGTGTAGATCCTCATAATACGCATTTTTTTAGCTTGAGTGAAATAGTTCACAAGTGTTTTCAGAACCTGCAGCTGAAGTGAGTAGGAGGATTCTCACCCTGAGGTTTGTATATAAGGAATTCTATAAAGATATCTGCTATCCTTATGTTTGTTACATTTTTAATAAACTTTAAGTATCTGAATTTTTAAAGAGGATGCTCAGATGCTCCATGCAGTTGAATTGTTCATGTCTTTTTTTCTTGTTCTGCCTTTATCTCCCCGAAAGAACAGTCACCTATTGTTGGAAATGCTGTTTGAATAGAATGGAAAAAAAAATGCTGTGCCTGTGATTTCAATGTGTGCCTAAGCGATTAGACATGGAATACTCAGTATTGCTTTCCAATTAGACAATAGTATTTGAAAATTGTTAGTTATTTTCTACAAGACTCATTTGTTCATTTGCAGCAATGTTGGTTGAAATGTGTGAAATCTAAGAATAGTTTTTATGTCACTAGCAGTATTGGAAGTGCCTCCAGCAGAGGGTGCTGAATATTCTTAGTGAGAGATCTGGCCACCCTCAGTAACTACCAAAATGACCGTGTGTGAGATTCATTTTTTTCTCTTGAAAAATGTACTCTAGATTTGAAAAACCCACTTGCAGTGAGTAGATCATGTGCTTGTTTCTTCACTCAGTAGAGGTATAAGAGTTTTATGTGCAGGGAAAAATGTTTATAATTGTATAATTTGTGTAGGTTTGGGCTTTTTTCTTTTCTTGCCCAGCATTTAGTGTGGAATAACCTGGTGATCAAATAATGGTTCATTCTGGTTTTTCTATCTGCTTCATTCTTTTTCCTTTTTGTTTTTCTCTTATGACTATCAAAACTGCAGCCCATTGTGAATGTTTTGTTTTAAATACTTGTATGTTATTCTCTTTTATTTTTGTTAATCATTGAATAGTCTAAGTGAAACTTAAGTACCTCTTAGTTGCCAGTTTATACAGTTTCCACAGCTTTTGTGGCCATAGAGAGGAATGGCTTTGAGGGTGCTCTTTCAGTCTGAAATTGGATATTTTGCAAACTGATTATGTAGCAGAAGTCCTTGAGGGTAACAGGTGGTGTCCTCTGCTTTTTTCTCCTCCCCCCAGGTACCTTCATTCAAATAACATAGTTGTTGTACCTGAAGGTAAGTAATCTACCAGCTCACAATAAGTGTCAGGAATCATAAAATATTCATTTTTTCTTCTTTGAAAAGGTCTATTTTTCCTTTATTGTCCCATAAAACATTAAAGATTTTCATACAAAATATACCAGTGTAGCTCTTAGGACAACCAAGGATATTATCGACTATGTTAAATTCTTTTAATGAAGTCTCAAATCCATCTAGATGCTGTTTGCTTCAGTTATAATTGCAGAAGGTGAAAAGGCTAAATGGCTCAGCTCTTAGTCGATAATATCCTTGGTTGTCCTATGTTAAATTCTTTTAATGAAGTCTCAAATCCATCTAGATGCTGTTTGCTTCAGTTATAATTGCAGAAGGTGAAAAGGCTAAATGGCTCTCATCTACAGAAACAAAAATCTGGAGTGTCTTCTGCTTTCAGACAGTTAGCACACAGAATACTCTGCCGGCTTAGATCATGACAGATTTGAAACTTAAAGTATCAAGAGCTTGTATGAGTTTTTGTTCCTTGTCTTAATTGTAGAGTTACGTGCCCAACTTCAGCAAAGTACTGTAGACTCTTTCTGAATATATAAATTGGCTAGACCCAAAGCAAAGGAATGGAAAAAGTTATTTCAGCTCAGAATCGTCTGAGGAGAATCTAGAGATGGGAGTATTCTGTACATGACTTTTTTTTCCCCCTCCCTGTCTCACTGCCAGCAGAACTGTTTGTTAGATAAGCATTTCCACAAGCTATGTCATTCAGTTGTGAGACTGGCTTTAATACGTCAAAATCTGCTCAGACATAGGTGTTAGGTACTGTGGTTTTTTATCCTCTCATAGTCCTATTAAGATTTTAACATTACTGTTGGGTCACATTCATGTTTTAATCTGTTCTCTCACAAGCCATTGGCTCCCTCGTTAAACTGCAGTTTCTGGACCTAAGTGATAATGCCCTCGAAATTGTGTGTCCAGAGATTGGCCGCCTGAGATCTTTACGTCATCTTCGCTTGGCTAACAACCAGCTGAAATATTTACCTGCGGGTAAGTACAAATGCACAAGGGATTACAGCAATGACAAATTCCATTTGAACTTAATTACACAGTCATCTGCTCTAGGTTTATTTGGATCCTACAGTTGAAGCATGGTAAAACTTGCATTTAAAGACTAGGCGGTGATTGCCATTGTGGCTTTTTTCGGACTACAGAGTATGTTTAGTACAATACGTGCACTATATGTACTTAAGGTAAAGAAAAGTCCTGAAAAATGCTTCCGAAGTGGGAAAAAAAATATCTGTCTTTGCCACTATATGAAGAAAATAGTGAACTTCCTTGAAAAGACACAAAATGACAACGACAACTGTCATAATGATAAAATTGTTTCTTCTAATTTTCCTGAATATAAAGGATTCCAATCCTTCCTTTCTTTCTTTTCCTCCAACAGCCCCATTCTTGTGTTTTCTGAAAAGACCCGTGTCTAGTAGGTTTGCCTGTGGCAGTTCTACCTCATTGTGACAGTAAATAACAAATGTTTGTCTTGCTAGTTTATAATAAAAAAGCAAAATTTATTCAAAGTAAATGTGACACAAAGTCAGAAAAAGTTGGCCATAGGCAGATTTTGAATGATTTTTTTTTTTGCTTTCTAAGTTCTTTGATAAGCAGACATAACTGATTATTCTTCTTCTGTCACCCTCATATCTGTGCAGAGAAGATGGTGGTTATTTTAAAATATTTTTTATTTTTTCACCTTTCTCTGGTGTATTTGTATTTTTCTGAACTGCAGAGATGATGAAATCCAAGGCCAGCATTTCAAAGAATGGGTCTACCTTAATCTAACAGGATTAGCTTTTGGCTCTAATTTTAACTAACCTGTCAATGTGACCTTCATATGTTTGTAAATTCACATTGCTTATTCTCAAGAAATATATTGCAATTGCTTTCTGAAATTTTGGGTGCAGAAATCTAGCTGTCCTTTCCTTGTACATTTTTTAGGCATAATAAGTTTAATAAGAACAAGTCAATGGATGATTATGATTAGAAAGAAAAAAATCTAGATGGCAGTGTAAATGCTCTGGAATGAAATTAGATAAACCTGTTAAACATTATGACCCAAGGCCAATAAAATTTCCATCAATTTTTGGATGTCCTACATTCAAAAGAAAGGAGTGACTTGAGTGTGCTTTATGTTCCTCAAAGATAATTTACCTTGTGGTGCTGTGCCATGAAAGAAAGAATTGTTCAAAGAAAAAGTGACACATTTTCTGCAGGACTTCACACACAAACTTAAAAAGGTTCCGTAAAAGACTTTCAAAAGGATGATTTACATTACTGAAGAGTTGATTTTGAGTCTACCACATTTGATTAGGAACTGGTATCAGCTGCATAGGCATGCTGCATTTCATTTCTCCTGAAGTTTACAAAATTAGGTACTGAGCGTTGTCCCTAAGTGCGTTTAGTTTTGTGTGCTTAGAAATAATGTTACTGTTGCCTACTTTTGAATTGGAGAATCCAGTGGTGTCTGGTCTCTTTTTTTTTTTTCTGGTTATGTACCATCGGTTTATACACATGCCATTACTGCTATCGTTACTAATCCTGTCTGTTCAGATGCTGTCACTATCAACATGAGTGGATGTCATACAGCTTGAGTGTTATCAGTCTGAGCAAGATTAGTCTTTTACTTACACTGGAGAGTTTGCCCACTAGAGAGTTAATCTACTGCACTGAGTGGTTCCTAAACATAACACTTCCTGAAGAGGGCTTCCAAGCATGTTTTCGTAGTTTTCCTTTGTAAAATTCTGAAGATTTTGAGTATGACTTTATAACAAAGTATTTGAGTTTGAAAATAACGTTTGTGTTCAACAATTAAAAATATAGAGCAAAATAGTTAAGTTTTGATGAATTGTTTTATCCTCAATTATATCGATAGCATGAATCTTCATCATAGTGTTAAATAGTGTTCTGTCAGGAAAGCTAGTAAAATTAATAACGTTAACTAGGATGAGATGTGATTTCACAGGAGTACATGATTTTACTGTATGTTAACCACTTTCTTTACTGTTGACACAGCATTGCAATGCATTGTTAGGGAAGGACAACTCTTAATTGCTCTTAATTCATAATAAGTAGCCATTTAAGATATAATTTAGCTCCTACTAGTGCAGCTTGTGCAGAATTTAAAGATCAGTATTAAAAACTGGCTTTCAGGTATAGGTGATAATCACTTACAGAAGTAACCTTTCAAAACTCGTGACCATAATTTTCTTCCAGATTTAGTCCTGCACATATCCCCCAAATGGTAGTGAATTGTTTATCACAGCAGAGGATCCAGTTAGGAAAGGCTGATCAGTATTCCCCTTGTGTAACCAGATAGTCCAACGTGCAGCATAATGATGTCATCACATAAAAAGCTTACTTTAGAGTTGTTGCCCTGTCATTTCTCTTGTCTCTCCCTTCCCAGTGTCTGGTGTTATAAATAGCCTCAGGTTGTGTTGAAACTGCATGGGTATCTGGGTGAATACTCTTAGTAATGTCCTTAATCACTTGCTAAAAAATCTCTTCATTATAACTGCAGAACAGTTGGATGGTAAATGTTTGTGGGTGTTCAGGCACTTTTTTAAATTGTGTTTTGAATTTTGAGAATGATTCTCTGTTGTGTCTTCCTTAATTGTGATTAAGAACTGAGAGAAACAATGCAATTAATAGCATATGTTGATTCATTATCTGTTTTTAATGTTTCAGTTCCACAATTGTGCCCTTGACGTTCATTTTTAGTATTTAAAATTTGCCTTGCAGAAATCTAGCATAATTCTAATTTTAAAACAATTGAAATATTATGCACAATAAAGCCCTATAAAGATTTATGTCTTCAATCTGATTGTAGATGTTCTTCAGACTCTAATAAAGGCTGAGCCTCTGCTGTAGTTTACCTTCAAAGTGATAGGCAACATTTTAGCCTCTAAGTATCTGTTTTCATAAAACTTGTGAGAATTTAATAGCAAAGACCTGTCTTGTTCTCTCAGGTTTGGTCCTGATTGACCAACTGGTTTTAAAAAGCTACTTTGAGGGAGGAGGTGGGGGAGAATGATGAAAATACATGCAGACAGCATGAATACATAATCCTTAGTTTACTGATGAGGGGGGAAAAGGGCATTAAGTGAAGCATGGAAACTGTGTTCCTTGGAAGTCAGAAAACACTTTCTATGCTGTGGCACTCTTGTAGTGTAAATCATAATCCTACCTTTGTCCTTGGCAAACACTACCGAATCAGTGTCACCCGTGGATAAGACCTTGTACTTTGGCCTCGGGCACCTTGTTTGATTGTGCACTGCCGCTGAAACAATGGGGCTTCCATTATGGAGCATTAAAGTGTTGTGAGAATTGTTGAAAGATGACTAGGCTGAACTTGATGAGAGGCAAAGGGAAAAATTTGTCCAGAATAAGCATGTTGAAATTGAAATATAATATCAAATGTTTGGAAGAAAATGCTTTAAGTTCTCTTGAAGTCATGTTTTGAATATACTTTGCATAAGGTTAATAAGTGGACCAGCTTCTGCCTAATGCAGAGTAATCAGTATCTAGATTCTGTGGTAATCAAAATCACTAACTGAGAGACTCTGTCATTGAGAGGAGAGCTGATTAAAAGAGTTGCAGAGAAGTAAGAAGATGAGATTTCATATTGTAAAGTTATCTTGAGCTTTTTTTTTCATTGAAATGCACAAATTCTTTTTTGTTCTGCAAACTGTAAATATTGTAGCTTTTGCCTTTAACAATTCCTTGGTTCCTTTATTTGGCTCTGGTATATGTGATTCATGAACATGAAGAAAAGTTTTGTGATGTTTTCTGCTATTTAACTGTAGCTCTTAAATAATCTAAATTCTTGAGGGCTGTTTGGAAATATGTAAGGCCAGAGATTTTATTTGAAAAAAATCTTAGTTGCAGCATAGACAAAAGATGTTTATTTCATATTATAGATTTAGTTCATGTATAGCTTGACTTAGAGTTGACATTACGTTTTCATAGTAGCTTAATTTTTTTTAGAAATTCATCTCTATGCACTTATGCATTTATATTTAGAAAGATATCTTTGTCTCACTTTAATTTAGAATTGTAGAGTTAGTCTGATATGAATGTGTCAGAAATAAATTTTCTGAATATTCTCTTATGAATGACTAATTAGAAAGTTCCCCTTTGTTTCTGATGTTTATTATGCATATGATATTTCAACTTCTTTTATTCTTTTGCAAAAAAAATCCAGTGAGATGTACTGAAAAAATTATTGTTCAGGAGTCCCAAAGCCAAGGTTATATCTCAGTTTTGCTGTGTTACCATTTAGATTTAATTTGAGTTTAGCCTTGGAAACTTTTAATGTGATGTGGTGGCTCTTCAGGTTTATATTTTGATTTTGTAGTTAGTGAATGCGTGTTTGGACAACAGATGACATTAAAGAGGGTGGGTTATACTCAAAGTTGGATGCGAGTTTCATAGTTGACAAGGATTAAATTTCTTTATTGCATGTTACTTGAGAAATACTTCTCCTTAGAAATGGCAAGTTGTAGCATCTTGTTCTAAGATTTAATTAAAAATGAGGTTATGTTTACTTAGCACATGTTGGAGTTAATTATAGATTTACTAAAATGAAAAGCTTAATGTTTTGCCAAGTCAAGAGCAAAAGCTAAGTAATTAAACAAAGAATAGGGTATGGTTTATGATCCCAGCCCATAATTTGGCAAAGTTCCTTTTAAGAAGGGAAAAAAAAAATATCAGTAGTTGTCTTTGCATGGGCTAGATCAAGTTTTCCTTTGTGTTTGTTGTCAGGGAACTTTAAGAACCAAGAGTTGAGCGCATTGATCAAGCAAAAAAAAAAATGCAATCAAATAATACCGAACTTCATGTAAACTGTGCGATGCTCTTTCTTTGATCCATAAAGTGTCCATAAAGGGGACACAGATCTGTTCAAGAGTCAAAGGCAGGTTTAGCAGATGCCCTTTCTTCCCTGTATAAGGAAATGTGTGGCTTCCATTTCAAACTGACATTTCTGTTGCATC